GGAAGGACTTTTTCAACTGATCGTTGATAGCCCTGTCAACAAAAAGAAGAAATATTTCGCTAAGGACAGGTGCGAGGCAAGAGCCTATACAAACTCCTTTCTTTTGTCTGTAAATATTTCCTTCGTATTCTACCAAAGTGGACTGTAAATAAATATCTATCAGGTCGATGAAGCCCTCAACCGAAACACCGGAGGAATTTTGAAAGTCGCAAATTCCGTGTTCATGGATTGCATTAGTCACAGAATCTAAGATGAGTTTTGGTTCTAGGCTGTAATACATATCTTCAATGTCGAAGGACATAACTGAGTGCGGGATGGAACAAAAATGAAGCGAATCGAAGCGGGGGATTAATTCAAGGGAGTTTTGGACTCTGAAAGGCTGAGGGAGGATGATATTAGACAAATGTTTTTGTAGATAACGACCCAGGGGCTTTTGCCAACACCCAATTTCTGAAATTATGCTCCTGAAGGGAACTCCATACTTGTGAGTCTTTGCAGTAAAGAAAACAGACAAATACTGTTTGGCAGGACTACCAATGACGTTCTTAAGAGAGGTCAAGTTCAAGGAGGAACAAAGTTCCTTTGCCTTCGAACGCAGTCTACCAGAAGGCCTAGTTTTTAAGCGCTCAAAATTCTTTGACAAGGCATCAAGAACCTTATCATTAAAAGCACTTTCCTCCAAAATTACAAAAACACCCGTTTTGTCCGATTCAAGTAATTTTAAGTGTTCTTGGCGAAGCTCTTGCACAGCCGCACGTAGTGGAAGCCTGCTTGGCCGAGGTGGTGGATGGTGACACACTGCACGCACTGCCGAGCCCATCCTCATTCCTCAGGTGTTTGTTGCATCCTCATTCCTCAGGTGTTTGTTGGGCCTTCCAGCAGAGGTCGGAGAAGCCAGTCCTCCCTTTCACCAGTGCTCACTCCAAGTCCGTTAAGCATGGAATAGTAAGGTCACTTTTCAAGTCCTCATTCTCCAAGTCATGCACGCATTTCTCCGAAAGTAGCCTCAAGTTGCAGCAGCAGAGGTTAGAAAAAGCAGGCTTTCCTGCTGACCTACTTCGCTCCACCCTTGAGAGGTTCATTATCAAACCACAACTTCCGCAAGTTGTTTTAAAAAAGAAAGGTCGCTTTGCTGTGATTCCCTACATGCACAATTCCGCGCACCGTCTAAGGTCTATTGCGTCCAAGTTCGACACGAGTGTGGTTTTTTCTTGTCGTATGCGCCTCAAACAGATGTGCAAAAAGGTTAATGGGAGCGACAGTCCCCGAGGGTGCAATGTAAAACATGCAAAAAAGTTCGTAGAATGCGAAGAAAGGAAGGTGTATTCGATTCCACTAAGTTGTGGCAGTCAGTACATTGGACAGACTGGGAGATGCGTCAACCACCGACTCAGAGAACATAACTTGGAAGCATCAAAGGCTTCAACCGAGTCGTATCACCCCATTGTCGTTCACAGCCGCACATGCGATGACTGTACTCCTCATTTTTCTAATACTAAGATACTGGGAGGGCACAACAACAGATTTGGGAGAGAAATCATCGAGTCATTTGCCATGGGGACTGTTAACAACAACATTTCTGCACCGTCATTATCATTGACAAAGACAGAGGTCGAATTCTTATCACCAGAGATAACTAGAATAATGACACCTCGTCGTGACGCTACAGATTTTTAGACTCTTATATTTATAGTACAATTCCCTTTTTGGACTGCAAACAAGAATAATTCTGCATTATCATTGACAATGACCAAGGTTAATTCTAACTAATCGAAAAATAACTTGATTACTGATGCGCTTTTCAAACTTTTCTTTTAGTGTATTCCCTTTCCTTCATAACTAGTATCTCCTTTCCCTCTTTGAGAACGCTGAGACCCTTGGGGGCGGTTTTTTATCGTTGTGCCATTCTATGTTGTTGCTAAATGAAAGATGTCCTGTTCTCGTCCTCGTCCTCTCTGTTTTATACTTTCAAGTTTTGTATCTATTAACCAACACGCTCGTTTTCAATTGTAACTGACAACGTTTTTCGAGCCATGTTTCGTCCAAACCCCAACTGCGTTTCTTCGGTCTTCAATCCGGTGTCCTTTCTGGAAGCTGCCATCTTCATTTCAAAGATGACCCAACTTCGTCTCCGGCTGCGTTCACTGGGCCTCTACCTTCGCAAAGATTTGCCTCATCCCTGTGTAGAGCTGGCATTTGGGTTTCGCTGCAACAACTGGGCTTCATGCTACCGAGTAATGCAGATTACGAGAAAAGAAATTTCTCATGAGCTTCACGTGATGGAAAGAGTGCTTCCCTCCCAAATGGAGAAACTTTTCGGACAAGGATTCAGCGCCCGAGTGGAGTACAAGTTCGTCATGGATGCTGCTGCCAGTCTTCTTCAAGCATCGTGGAATAAATTGCTCAAGGAAGTCAACACCTCGTGTCTACAGGTAAAGACCACCAAGTTTGAACCTCCTGTGATGCTTTCTACAAAAAAGCTCTCCGCTGCCACAATGGATCTTCTGTCGAGGGGACCAAAGTTTGCTCCAGATCTTCCTTCGTTGAAGGTAGACCAGCTAGCCTCTGTCCATCAAGTAGCGTCGTCTATACCTGAACATCAACGGCAAGACTTTCTGGGCTCGGCAGTGCGTGCAGTGTGTCACCATCCACCACCTCGGCCAAGCAGGCTTCCACTACGTGCGGCTGTGCAAGAGCTTCGCCAAGAACACTTAAAATTACTTGAATCGGACAAAACGGGTGTTTTTGTAATTTTGGAGGAAAGTGCTTTTAATGATAAGGTTCTTGATGCCTTGTCAAAGAATTTTGAGCGCTTAAAAACTAGGCCTTCTGGTAGACTGCGTTCGAAGGCAAAGGAACTTTGTTCCTCCTTGAACTTGACCTCTCTTAAGAACGTCATTGGTAGTCCTGCCAAACAGTATTTGTCTGTTTTCTTTACTGCAAAGACTCACAAGTATGGAGTTCCCTTCAGGAGCATAATTTCAGAAATTGGGTGTTGGCAAAAGCCCCTGGGTCGTTATCTACAAAAACATTTGTCTAATATCATCCTCCCTCAGCCTTTCAGAGTCCAAAACTCCCTTGAATTAATCCCCCGCTTCGATTCGCTTCATTTTTGTTCCATCCCGCACTCAGTTATGTCCTTCGACATTGAAGATATGTATTACAGCCTAGAACCAAAACTCATCTTAGATTCTGTGACTAATGCAATCCATGAACACGGAATTTGCGACTTTCAAAATTCCTCCGGTGTTTCGGTTGAGGGCTTCATCGACCTGATAGATATTTATTTACAGTCCACTTTGGTAGAATACGAAGGAAATATTTACAGACAAAAGAAAGGAGTTTGTATAGGCTCTTGCCTCGCACCTGTCCTTAGCGAAATATTTCTTCTTTTTGTTGACAGGGCTATCAACGATCAGTTGAAAAAGTCCTTCCAGGGTTGCCTAGTTTTTAGGTATGTTGACGATTACTTGGTCATTTATCCAGATGCTGCGTCCGCTGACAGCATCTTTGAAGTTTTCAAAGACTGTGCGGCAGGGCTTACTTTTACCCGGGAAAATCCTTCAGTGGAAGGATTACAATTTCTGGATTTACGATTGCATCCTCATTCCTCAGGTGTTTGTTGGGCCTTCCAGCAGAGGTCGGAGAAGCCAGTCCTCCCTTTCACCAGTGCTCACTCCAAGTCCGTTAAGCATGGAATAGTAAGGTCACTTTTCAAGTCCTCATTCTCCAAGTCATGCACGCATTTCTCCGAAAGTAGCCTCAAGTTGCAGCAGCAGAGGTTAGAAAAAGCAGGCTTTCCTGCTGACCTACTTCGCTCCACCCTTGAGAGGTTCATTATCAAACCACAACTTCCGCAAGTTGTTTTAAAAAAGAAAGGTCGCTTTGCTGTGATTCCCTACATGCACAATTCCGCGCACCGTCTAAGGTCTATTGCGTCCAAGTTCGACACGAGTGTGGTTTTTTCTTGTCGTATGCGCCTCAAACAGATGTGCAAAAAGGTTAATGGGAGCGACAGTCCCCGAGGGTGCAATGTAAAACATGCAAAAAAGTTCGTAGAATGCGAAGAAAGGAAGGTGTATTCGATTCCACTAAGTTGTGGCAGTCAGTACATTGGACAGACTGGGAGATGCGTCAACCACCGACTCAGAGAACATAACTTGGAAGCATCAAAGGCTTCAACCGAGTCGTATCACCCCATTGTCGTTCACAGCCGCACATGCGATGACTGTACTCCTCATTTTTCTAATACTAAGATACTGGGAGGGCACAACAACAGATTTGGGAGAGAAATCATCGAGTCATTTGCCATGGGGACTGTTAACAACAACATTTCTGCACCGTCATTATCATTGACAAAGACAGAGGTCGAATTCTTATCACCAGAGATAACTAGAATAATGACACCTCGTCGTGACGCTACAGATTTTTAGACTCTTATATTTATAGTACAATTCCCTTTTTGGACTGCAAACAAGAATAATTCTGCATTATCATTGACAATGACCAAGGTTAATTCTAACTAATCGAAAAATAACTTGATTACTGATGCGCTTTTCAAACTTTTCTTTTAGTGTATTCCCTTTCCTTCATAACTAGTATCTCCTTTCCCTCTTTGAGAACGCTGAGACCCTTGGGGGCGGTTTTTTATCGTTGTGCCATTCTATGTTGTTGCTAAATGAAAGATGTCCTGTTCTCGTCCTCGTCCTCTCTGTTTTATACTTTCAAGTTTTGTATCTATTAACCAACACGCTCGTTTTCAATTGTAACTTTATTTTCAGTTTACATTTGTCGAGGTCTTTTTCATCCGTGACAATATAGAATAAAAGCGAATAGTCTATTCCAGAAAACGCCTTCTGTGAGCTGCCATTTTTGTCTACTCGGTTGTGGAACGAGTTCTGAACATAGGTAGTCACCCTATTATGCGAAACATCAGATGCCGCCCGTGAGTCTGCGGCTCAGTAACTCACCATTTTGTGACGGGTGACGGGATGTCTCACCTGAAGAAGGGCACGTCCGAGGCCCTGCGCAGTACGGTGGCCGCCAGGACAGACTGGACCGTCGGGTGGCTGGCCCAGGGCGGCGGCGCGTAGGCGTGCGAGAAGGCCGGCACGGACGCGGCCAGGAAACGGGAGAAGTCCGACTCCCGGGCAACCAGGCGGGGTTTGGCGCCGCGGGCCTCGAGCCTCGGGGACAGCGCGTGCAGCACCAGCGCCGCTATCCACACCATCACAGAGAACGTGGACAGCGGAGAGAGCAGGAACACCTAGGGACGGATCGGGGCGCGCACTGGGGCTATGCGTGGCTTGCAAGGGTCAGCGCCCATTGGGTTGGCCTTCCGCAGCATGCACTTCACACCACCCAATCTGCTTTTTCTCGGCGAGAACAAGTAGGAACCACCACCAGCTGCACTTATATACGGGGTGGCACCGAGCGGGACCAAGAGACCGGGAGATTGCCGTCTTCCGCGATTGGTCAGCTACGCATTACCTGACCAATCGCAGCAGGCTGCGATGCACCGGTCTCTTGGCCGGAAATATCGGCGCCTGCACATAGAAAGTACAAGCAGTCCCGGAATGTGCGTTTAGCAGATCAATTTTGCCCGTTACATTTTGAGGCATTGTTCCCTTTCTGTGTAAAATGAGAGGAACAAACTTGCAGAATTCAACGTCGCAAGCGTTCGGAGACGACCGAGTTCGCGACGCTATTAACTTGTTGCGTCATCTCCCGATAGGCGCAACGAGCAGACGACGCACTCTGTTCTCTGGTCGCTGCGCAAAACAACAGTGAGCTTATTGTTTTTGATAAAAAGAAAAAGATTTTATCACCGAGAACAGTTCTAAGTAAGTGGCAATTTAAAGGTATGGGCCGGATTCACAGGAAGCAAACGGATAGCAACACATATCTGCTTCTGAACGAACGTGGTAGAACGTTTCAGGAATCTGATTTTTTAATGTTGGGAGGAGGTCGTTGGTGTTGTTTTCCTTCTCGAAGGTTGTTGGTGTTGTTACCATTTCCCTTTCTGTCCGGCAGCCTTGGCCGTTAAGTTGTTTCTCTTTGGTTGGCGCGTTGTGCAATTCTCTTCGTGTCCTTAATTATCAAGTTTTCCCCTTGTTGAATTAGAGTGGAAAGGTTAGGAGCTCGTTTGTGCTTAAGCAGTATATGAAACTGCGCGCACAACAACGAAAATCATTCAAATCATATAAAACAAATGGACAGGGGAAAAAAAAAACTGAGCAAGCCAAACTTCTCTTTACTTGCACAAAAAAGAGATAGCCTGCTTGGACACGGGTTGATACGATGATAATTTGGTTTAGTTCAATAATTTAGTTCCATTCGTTGTTAGTGCCTAACATTTTCGTGGATTTTTGTTGTGTTTAATGTTCGGCGTGTACTTCTGCTATGTCGTGGGCGTTCTTAAGGATGGCTTGGCTGAATGAAAGTTTTGCTGTGTCTGGAGTATTGGCAGGTGCATGTCTCCTGGGTTACTAATCTGTCTTAAACCAGTTCATCTGTACTCTCGCTTTAGTTGTATATGCCATGTTTCTAATATAGCCAAGTGAAAACATGCGTTAGTTCCACCCGCGAATTTGCAGAAAACATGCCATAATCTCGATCCGGTTCCACCAATAAAAATATGTCGTTGTGCCAAGTTCTTCAAGGGAAAGCGTTTAGTACAACCTGGAATAACAAAGTTTTCAATTCAAAATTCAAAATTACAGTCTTAATACCTGGAGTACGTCCGCCATGATGGCAGCCATGATGGTTTCGGTGGCGAAGGGAGAGGGTGGCTGGATGACGTCACGTCACGAGGCGCTGATGTCGGTAGCTATGCCGATGACGTCCGTTGAACGAGGAACGCGGGATGCTGATGACATCTGGCTCAGTCATTCCGACTAGAATCCTGGGCAGAGAAGATCGGAACGGGGATCCTTAAGCACAAAGGTGAATTGAGTGTATATTAGACTCGGGTTTATGCAGCAAACAATAACAAGCAATCGGACACAAAGTCACGCAATATTTAGGCGACACATTACACAATGCGTTCATTCACATGAAAGCTCCTGACAAAAACGGGAACGAGGAAGACAAGACAGCCCAACGCACTTGGTTGTCCCCGTTTCACTGAGGCGCTTTCATATAAATAAACAAAAATGAAAGACATTTCCAATTCCCTATCATGCCAATTTAGAGCGCAGCTCTTGAGGAGGAGGAGCTGAGAGTACAGAGAGGAGGGTATCCCCTCCTGCTCCTCCTTACCCTATCCTCCTCCTCCCCCCTTCCTCTTCTCATCCGTCCTCCTCCCCTCCCTCCTTATCCTATCCTCCTCCCTTTCTCCTTCCCCTCTTCCTCCACCTCCTCCCCTCCCTCTCTCCTCCTCCCTCCTCCCTTGTGACGTCATTCGTGACATTCGTCGAGACCTTTACGAGTGACCTCCGTGAGGTCACTCCTGACGTGACGGTCACTTGTGAAAGCCTCGTGAAGGTCACTGTGAAAATCGTGATCTCCGTCGTGACTTTCACAAGTGACCTTCGTGACGCCACTCGTGACCCTAGTGACCCTCGTGGCGTCCCACTGACGTCACGTGTGACGTCATTATGAGAAACGTCATATAATGCAACGCGCGATTACGCTGACAGCGACGTCGACGGCGACGGCGATGCCGACGCCGCTCAAGCCGGAAACGGCCGCCTAAGAGCTGCGCTCTAAAATTAACTAGCCCAATTAGGCAGTCTGTTACACATTGCGTGTTTAATAAGCTTGTTTTATTATTGTTCGTTGCTTCTTGCGTTCATTAATTTGCATAGGAGCACAAAATGCCCGTGTAGAATCTGTCTTGGTTATCGATAAGCTAGCCCATTTTTGCGTTTCGAGGTCACACACAGTCACCGTCAGGCACAGTAGCGTTCGGTACTCAATATGAGGTCACACAGTCATGAGGTCACACAGAGTCATGAGATCACACACAGTCACCGTCACACACAGTAGCGTTCGGTACTCAATATGAAATTCCAAGAGGCCGCAATGATCAATACCAGTTCTTTGGCAGTTCAGCTACCTCATGTGATTGAGATGGTTTTTAGCTTCCCTAAAGCTTCCGAGCAAAGTGTAACTTAAAAGAACTAAGTTTCAATGGTTCAACCAAATATCGCGAAGGTAATTAAAAATAGGTTTTGCGGAGTCGATGTCTCCAAATAACAAAGAATAAGGAAATTATTGCAGGTTTAAATGAAAGCAAACACCGTCATTCGCTCTGGAAAGTGACAGTACTTTAAATCAACGTTTGAGGAATTTGGGCTTAAGCTCACCTAAAACCTGGTTGCTGATTAATGAATCGCGAGTTTCTTCTTCCCCTTTCCAGTTATGTCCCTCGCAAGTATGCATCCATCGCGCCTGTGTTTCGCGTGAAGTACGTCGGCATTTGTTTAGACTTCGCTACGTCACGAAACACGCGCCGTCTTGTAATCGTGTCAAATTACGAACCGTGTTTTGCGTACTCTATAACACGTGAGGATTTTGAAGTAAATAGTCGTCGCCGAAATGTAGAATAAAAGAGAAGCGGTCACCCGAGAAAATAAAAGGAATCGCAGGGCCTGCGTGGGCCTGCGGAAGAGGCGAGGTATGCCGAAGTGGTGACCGGCGGGGCTGGGGGCGCGGGAGCCCCGGAAGGAAGGAGACGTCCGATACGGTCGGTGGCTGATGGCGTACTCTCTTCATTCAACGGTAAACAACATGGGGGTCGAGCGCCACGAGGACGCGAGCCTGACAACACGGCGCAGTGGTGGACAGTGGTGCCATCTAGGTAGTGTGTATAGAACTTGCGAAAAATTTAAATACAACAGATTTATGCCGGCTTGTGTCACAATTCGTATGTTTCATGCGCTCGCTTACAGTGTCGCTTGGGCACGGCGTAATTATGTTTGGTGACAGTTTGGATTGCTGGCAGTAGAAAGCCAGGGAAAGGAATGTTCGCGAGCATTGTGTCTTATACGGATCTTTCAAGCAGCCCCGATATTTTTAAAGTCGCAGTCAGACTGCTATAGCACATCGTACAATTGCTGTCTGGGGGCACCGCCTGAGGCATTTAATTACGGCGGTCACACTGGTCAGAGAAAAACGGTCTGCAGGCATTTTCGTAGCTTGTGTGGAGCAAACACGGTTCGGACATGCAAGGGGCGCGTCCGCACATGCCATCATGTTTGCAGCAAACACTGTGTCTTTGGGATGCCGCTGCATGACTGCGGCTTTAAGGTCTTAAAAAGCCCGATCTGCTTTTACGTTGTTTTCTGTTTTCTTTTCTTTTTTTTTGAGACAGCTGCAGTCGGTGGTTGAGGAAGGATTTCCAAGCTATTTTCCCCCGCATACTCCGCCGCATTCCACCTTTTGGAGAACTGCTTTGTTCGACCAGAAACGATGAATGTACTCGGGGCTACTGTGGTCGGTATTTCACATTACCTCACTGAAAGAACTGAAGAAATAACTCGTGAACACTAACTTCGAATTCCATTACTGTATATTATCATTGTACTTATAGTGTTTTGGATTGAAGTGTTCTTACTTTTTCTTATTAAATTTCGAAGTTACATGTGTATTTAGCCATTTTTTTAAGCAAAGCTTTCTCCTGATCTAGTGTTTTTATTTGACCTAAACTAAATGCATCTCTCGATCCCTCTATCTCTCTATCTTTCTCTTTCTCTCTTTCTTTCTTGTGAAGTAAACACCCGGTTTATGCACTGTGGTGCGTAAACGAGTGCACTACATGCCTCCCGCAGACGGGACCTAAACGGAACCCGACAGAAAAAGAGAAAGCGGCGCAAGAGGGGCATCGTGCCAAACAAAACGATTTCTGGACTCTGCGAAACGCAATGCTCAGCGCGAGCCGATGTTCCGAGCAAAGCGTGAATTCACGCATTCTAGAACTTCGGCTATGAATCAGCGAGAACATGATGACCAATTTGCAGCAAAACGTGAAGCCGAGCGTAACAGACGACTGGCCATGGGCGAGCCACAGCGTTCAACTCAGGTTCAAGCGAAACGCGTATTTCAGCACAAGGAGCAAGAAGCGCAACGACCGAAGGGATTATGTTCATTCACCCGCTTACGCGCTCTGTTGCGTAAGCGGGTGCCTTTAATCGACGAAATAGGTTATTTTAATGCACCAGCTTATGCGCTGTAGTGAGTAGTGTCTAGATTACACGAATAACACAGATGGGACGAAAGCGGAACCTGACAGAGAAAGAAAGAGCTTCACCTAATATAGATTCCAACTAGGGCGCTGGATCTGCCACATTTTTATTCTTTCACTTAAACGTTTACTTAAGTTTGTGTTTCTTTTGATTTGCCGTCCTTTTCTATATTTGAGTGCACTTCCTCATATTATGGCAAAAGTTGGTGCTCAAGTTTGTGTTTTCATGGCAGCATCCTGCAGCCCCTTTGTTGATTTTGATGTGCCCGTACATTTATTTACCTATCCATCCTCTTTCAAACAATGTCAAATACAGTGAAGACAAAGACAGAGCGGTGCTGTTCTGTGCCCGGGTGCAACGTGGGTTACAACACCTGCAAAGAGAAACGCCCATTGTTTCGGAGGCGGAGCAACACTTCTCTTCGCAGAATTGTACCGTATGATTCCAGAAGAATAGAAAAAGAAAACGGAAGAAGATAAAACAACAAAAAGAATCCAAGAGAAATCTGTGACGACATGTGTGACCATGTCACAGAATTCATACTTCTTCAAACGGGATTGCTGTTGAATAAAGACAGCAGTTGAAGTTCCTCTTCCTAGTCTTTGTGTTTATTTTCATATGATGCACGCTCACTATATAAAATCAGTTCAGAAATATGTCGATTTATAACCTTAGTCTGAGAATGCACAAACCAAGAAAAGCTCGGTTTGATTACTCCATGATACACTTAAAAATAAGTATTAACACCAAAACAAAAACTATATCTCTAAAGGTCTGGAAAATGTACAGCTGCCAAAAACAAAATTAAAAGAGCTTACGCACAAAAGTGTGGAGGAAAGCATCGTATATCATATCAGACCAAAACTTCGCTTTCGTAATGCTGGTATGTAAGGTGAGACATAAACGTATTATTCTATAAGAGCATTAGAAAACAAACCAAAAAATTTAAGAACCGAGGCTACGCAAGTAATGGACAGCTCCTAAACAGCATTTTCGCTTTAAATATAGACCTTTTCATTTCAGTAGTTGCCTGACCGGCGGGTAGAGGGCGCTGGCGCACTCGGCGCCATTAGGTTGCTTCAATTTGGTCGGTTTCGGTCTCAACGTACACACGATTGTGATGCTGTTTCATGCCCCTTTCGATTAATTTTGCGATATGAATTTCTTTCTAGTAGCACACAGCGAATGAAACAATAGTATTGAGCCACTTGGCAAACCACGAAGTGGTTTCGAGCCTAAATTGCGATCTTTTTTTTACGAACACTATATGCGTCTGATTCCGTCCATCATTAATTTCGGCCAGGTTCGGTGGTGAAACAACTGCGCTGATGCACAGGGAGGTGTGCCAGTACCATAGTCTACGTCCGTAACCGCGGGCACTAGTTTCAAGAAGAAAAAAAATAAAGAGCAGGACAAGCTCCGTCTGCACAGTGCGCTTGCTGCCCGCCGCCGTGCTTTGGCTGCGCGTGCACCGAGCGCTACGGAAGTAGATAGCTCGCGCTTAAGTCAGATATTGAACTGATCATCTTATATTGCAAGAGACTATATTGCATGAGTGCTTAGTGAAAAATCAGGTCGACAACATGATTAACAATCTGCTGAATCACCAAGAACAGATGAACTGACGAGTTTGCTGTTCGATATTTGGTTCCCGTACACCAACCTTTTCTAACTTCGAGACTGGAAATGTCTTTTATAATGACTAGACACGTTTAAT